TATGTATGTATGTATGCATGTATACGTATATGTATATGTATATGTATATATGTGTGTATATATATATATACATATGTATATATATATATATTTATATGTATATGTATATCTATATGTATATATTTATATAGCTATATCTATATCTATATCTATATCTATATCTATATCTATATCTATATCTATATCTATATATATATATATATGTACATATGCACATGTCCATGCATGCTACCCCATTTATCACCCTTTTTACTAAGACCCTTCTTGGTCCTCTCAGTGTGCCATGGAAGTCAGGACTCGACTCAATAGTCTACCAAAAACCATGCAGATCCGAAACGCCTATATCCTCGTATCTAAACATCCAGAGCCTACAGTCGTCACACCGGAAGTCCTTCTGATGACCCAAAGCCCTTGCATAACCGGAACATTTGGCTTTAGTGTGTGGATTTTGAATGGAGCATGGTGGGGGACGAAAGTTCGTCGCATCCGCAAGTTCGTTCTAAATATACTTAGCCAACCCCTTCCCCCCTAGACTCACCCAACCCTGAACCCTAAGTTCTCGGGGCCCGGAGTTGCAAAATCCTCCGTCTAAACAAAAGTTATTATATGTTCAAAATAACGTGTTATTTCCTCCTGACCAGGCCACCTAAAATGCACTTACTTGTACTCCGCGTCCTCCACCAAAAAAAGATGTTAAACTAGGACGAAACTTTCATCCTGGTGATGTAGGAATGGCTTGCATCGGCGTGAATGCATGCGAAGCAATTCCGAATGTCCTTTCCGAGGGCTGTCTCTCCAACTGCCAAGACCACAATTAGGTAGCCTAAATCCTGAACTCTATTAGAACCTTTACCCTAAACCCTATAAGACTCTAAACTCTACACCCTCTAAGACCGTTAGCTCCAGAAGACCCTAAACCCTAAACGCCACAAGACCCTAAACCCCATACGAGCCTAAATCCTAAACCCAGGTCCCTACCCTCGTGTTAGACTAAACCCAACACCCCCCGACACTGGAGGAATTTTGAAGTCCTTCTTCAATGCCGTGGACTACGTCAGCGGCAGGGAGCTGTACGGGGAAATGAGCGACTTGGCTCGAATTGCCGGGTGATCCCTTCCCGCATCCACTCAGCGATCCCAAAGCCTTATCCCTATCTATAATATAGGGGCCTTCATAAGTACCTACATTATTTTAGGGGTTCCTTAAAAGGACCCCAACACCTTATTCTAATTATCAAGGCCCCTGCAGTATGTAGGTTAACCATGGCAGCGCGGTTTGTTAATAAAGAAGAAATGCAATATTTGTGACTTTGAGTCCGCATCTGCCACATTTCCAATCATGGAGAAGCTAACCCTATAATCCAAACTCCTGAACTTTGAAACCGAAATCGCCCCTAAACTCCTTGATCCTTACCTATACCCTTAACCCGAAACCGCTTCGAAGTTGCACGGCTTGTAGGCCTTTCGTTTTGGAGTTTGGACCTGTAGTGGCTACATCGAGGCAGAAAGCGTGAAGTGTGCCAAGGTTCGGCGCTAACCTATGTCGGTTAAAGTCCGGTTACATCTGAACCTTCCACTTTGTCTTCAGATGGAAAACGTTCTGCGTTCTGTATGAAGCCAGACGTCCCAAGAATAGAAGCCCTCAGCCTGTGTTAGCTATCAACGCCCCTGTTTCGGGGATTAGTGTTCGGGGGTTCGATAGGGTTCACAGGTGTACAATTGAAGGTTCAGTTTGGGGCTTCAGGGCTTCAGGGTTGCAAGAGCTCTTCAGAGTATTGTAATCTTACGAGGCTGTGGCTAAGGCCTGCCTCGGGACGCTTTGACCTAGTAGTAGAGTAAGTAACCTTGAGCCTTTGTAAAATATTATAATTCGTAAACAAACGCAGAGGTTAACCTTTGAATCCCCTAAGTTACTGGACAATTCGGTTAATCTTAGCACCGGGGATGGTCCGGGCTCAAACGCAAAGGTCGCGAGGCCCAAGCACGGATGCTCTGCGAAGTACCAACTAGGGTTTAGGGTTTAGGGTTTCGGTTTAACCTAACCCCAAACACCTTCACCCTGATCCCCATATTTGCTTCCTCCCTAAGACATGTTGGACCCCGTCGGGAAATCCAAAGGTGCCGAAGGTGAAGAGGTCCTAAGTACACACTTCGTAGAAGGTAGGGGTTCTATACTAGAAATTTCCTTTTATGGTTCGGGCCAGGATCCCCTTTTGGTACTTTGGACTCTTTCCCAGAGACTCCAAACAAACCCCTTAATTAAGGAATATATATATATAATTATACTAGGAACCCAAATAAGATTTAAGGTAAATTCCTTAATTAA